AAAGAGTGGTGATGATATGATCTCTCAGGGATTCTGATGCTTTATTTCTTTCTCTGGAAAACTGTTGCCAGTTCCTAAATTATCTCATCATATTTTGACAGATGTGAAGGATCATAAAACTCTCATCAAAGGACAGCCAAAGCTACAAAAGTCTGAGCCAGGAGGCAAATTCATATTGCTTTAATCAAAGGAAATATACCTTTTCCTCAAGAAACTTCTTTTCTAGCCTTCCAACTATCTCCTGATGTTCCCTGTTTGAGATCTGCATACTTTCTTTTATCTAGGATTTAAAAGAAAAAACCTTTAACAATGGTGTACTCTTTCAGCCTTCTACATAAAAATGTAAATGAAATGTACTAAAAAGCACTTCCCTTTCTTTCTTTCACTGTCCACGCTGTTGTCAGATCCTTGCATAATTTCTGTTACTTACCACAGAACGTCTTTTGAGTTATGCTGTATTTTTATTTCTTTTCCATAATTTACCTGCTCTTATATTTTCACATCACTGGCAAGCTTCTTTATCATATTCTCCATTATCTGTTAATAAATATGCAGAACACAGCACAGAACTCTTTCTAGTTTTGGTTAAGCTCTTCCCACTCAATTGATCATTTATATCCAAAGCCCAGAAACCAGTACATATGAATGTATTTCATATCTTACTTTAAAAAATGCTTTTATTATTTGTACTGTGGTACTTCAGTTATAGATCAGGGCCTCTGGGTGCTATACAAATATATCTCAAAAGGCAGTCCCTGCCCTGAAGACTGTACAAACTAAGTGACTTACTTGATGATACTACCTCTGTATTCCACTTGTGGCAGCACTGGTTACTGTAAAATCTATTACGTAACATTTACAAACCTATGTTATTTATAGCCCAAACACAGGGCTCCCTGCACATATCCCTGAGGAGAACACGTACAGCAGGCCCTGGAGTCCTTGCCTTGTACAGATATATCTGAATCAACTAATAGCAATTCAAACTCACCTTTGTGGAATGCTTTGAGATCTATGCAACCCCCCTCCCTGCAACTATGGGTCTGATGTACATTGTACAATATATTATAATTATTATGCTTGGATTTGACTCTCTGATTTGAACACTTGCTTTATTTGTCCCCAGCACTGAGGCTAACTCGATGTTTCATAGCAATTGTCCACTTTTGTACTGGTAGCAGGGGATGCTGAAGAAGCTACCCAGCTGAAGCTGAAAATAAATATCTGTTTTAATCAGCCAAGTCCAAGAAACTTAATATTTTTTCTAATTCAAGGGTACTTAGGAGTTTTTATAGCCCACCCAACAAAAAGAACTCTAGCTCTGGAACTTGTACCTTGCTGACCTACCTGTTTTCTCAGCTTACGGTAAAGTCTAACACAGTGATGTTCAACCTCTGACCTGCAGAGCATGTAATCTGAACTGTGGGACACCTCAAAAGCCCAGAAATTTGCTGGCAGGAGAACAGTATCAGCATTAATTGCTCCCAGAGCCATGGCAATTAATGCTGCCACCCCTCCCCTTTTGCCAAATCTCTAGGCCTGTGTGGAGCCCTGTAAGCCATATGATATGGCCCCATGTCATGTACCTGATTATGACAATTCACACTTAGGCTGCAGCCAGGGTTGATTGGTACACAGGGTTGATTTGCTGCATAGGGTCACAATGCGGACAGATTTGGTACCCAGGATGACACTGGCTTGTCAGACTGCACACGTAGACTGATGCTGCATACTGACCGCCCACTGGATCAGGCCTGTGGATCAAACCCACAAGGAGAATCTGACCTCTAGACCAGCCCTACACCCTTCATCCAGCTCGAGGGGCTAAAGACATTGAGCACCATGGTTGAACATATAATCTATTTGCATCTTATGTTCTGTTCCTGTCAGCCAGTCCCCCCCTGTGAAAGTGGCAAAATCACTTCTTACATAAAGCATTACAATCAAAGTCCTTAGGAGTATATGTTTAGGACTTGCACATGTTATAGTGATGAATGATCAATCTTTATTGAGCTTTTGTTTGTATGGGATGTCACTAAACCATCTAAAGTTAATACTTATGGCAAACTTACATCTTCTAATTCTTTCTCCATGTGTGCTTTCTTCTTGCGAAATTCCCTTATAACTTTCAGTTCTCCTTGAATTAAACTGATCTCTCTGGCCTTTTTGTGGAATCTTTCTTCCAGTTCTTTTAACTGATTGGAGTAATATTCTGTCTGCAGATAAAAGGCTCTCAGTAAAAGAAGAACAAGACAAAGCTAGGGCAACCCATCAGCAAGAAACAGACAGCCAATGAAAATGAAGGGCTAGCACCAACCTGATGTGCAAAATTTAAAACTACAGGGAATTATCATGAGAAGGAAAACAAAAAAAACAAGTCGAACAGTATCAACAAAATAGAGAGCTTAGAAAATAGTGTTAGGTTTAAAGCTGTCTTTTAATAACAGGCCAGTTTGCAGCCTGTTCTTTGCTGCTTCTGATTTGAGGGTCCTTCAGGAGCTCTCTTCATGCAATTTTTTAAAATTTAAGATGTGGATTATCAGACTTCTGTAGTCAGGGTTTGTGGGTAGATGCAGTCTGGTAAACAATAACTTCTCATTGTAATGGACTGAAAATCTACTCAGTGATGGACTTGGGCTATCAACAAGGGACAAGGGAAAACCAGAACAAAAATCAACTAATTTTTATTTTGCTGCAAATGAGGAAGGTTTCTGCTTTGTCTCTACCCACATCCTTCTCTTTCTGAGTACTATTGCTAATATCTATTACAAAGATGCTACCAGTTAGGAAGCCCTGGTATAGCCCCTGCACTTCTTTTTTGAACACCTTTTCATGAAAAGTGTTTTACCCCAAATCCTTTAACATATCTTCATCTAACTTGTTTATCATCCTCAGATCAAAACCAGTGCTCAGCCTGTTGTGAGAGCTAATGTGCTTAGGGGAAAATGTTCACGCACCAGCTTCTCACTGTCTTCTTGGGCTTGCTGCTTCAAATCAGTTAGCTGCTGCTTCAGTTTATCAATCTGTAGAAGATAAAAATCAAGGAATCATCATCACAGATAAGACTCTCCCCATTTGCTTTTGCCTCCTAAAACCACTTTATGGGATTGCACGAAGGAAAAGGTAACAAAATAAAAAAAGCTCTTTTATGTATAGTGTTAGAGGCTAGGTTAAACAGACACTCTTCAGTTGGATTAAATGTACAAAACAATCCAGGACTTCAGACCAAAACCAAGACACATAACAAAGGTACCTAGGAAGCTTCTCACAAATTAAATGGGTGGAAGGATTTATTATATGTTGTTTTGGGTAGGGGTATGTGTCTATGAGAGACAAACAAAAAAAATACAGAAGCAGATGAAAAAAGGAAGCAGAAACCAGACACAGCCACGTGACCCAAAATGAACCCCTGAGACAGAGCTTGGAGATGTTAGCAAGGAAACTGTCTCCTATTATTTGATTCCTCCTGTGTTCAAGGAAACATCGGCAGACAAGGTTCCTTGGGTGAATTTGATATCTTTTATTAGACCATCCAGGAAGAGTGCACACCAACTGCTGAAACTTCCTTAGCCTGACGAAGGGTTTTTGAACTCAAAAGCTTGCTTAATAACTATTCTCCAACTATTTGGGTTGGTCTAATAAAAGATATCAAATTCACCCAAGGAACCTTGTCTGTCTATGTCCTTAGACCAACATGGCTACAACCTACACCCCTGCAACAAGGAAACATCAGCTTTTGTACATTTTTTGGAAATAAACAGCAACTGTCATTACATTCTCCTAACTGGAAAAATTTGCAGGAACCCACATTTTTGGCTGGCTACTTGGATCAAAAGAAGGAACAGTAAGATTAAAGTGAAAGAGCTCTGGATGAAGCAAATGACAGCAGTAAGGGAAACAGTGTGGAACCTGTGTATTGACCCTATACTGATTCTCTGTTGAGGGAATTTACTTTAGGACACTGCAGGGCACTAGGCGGTACAAGGGGGAGCAGAGACTCAAAATCAGCGATTTGGACGATAGGGTGAAAAGCAACCTGTTCAAATTTGCTGATGATACCAAAATTTGGGGTGAGGTGGGCACGCTAGTAGGGAGGGAAAGACTGCAGCAAGACCTGGACAGGTTGCAAGGGAGGGCTAACAAAAACAGGATGCATTTCAATACGGACAAGTGCAGGGTGCTGCACTTGGGCAGTAGTAACCGGCAGCACACTTATAAGATGGGAAACTCCCTTCTTGAGACCACGGAGGCAGAAAGGGATCTTGGAGTCATCACTGACTCCAAGATGAACATGGGCCGAAAATGCGAGGTCACGGTCGGCAGGGCTAACTATCGTGCATCCACAGGTGCATCTCAAGTAGGGCCAAGAAGGTGATCCTCCCCCTCTACGCGACACTGGTCAGGCCACAGCTGGAGTACTGTGTCCAGTTCTGGGCACCCCACTTCAAGAGGGATGTGGACAACATTGAGAGGGTCCAGAGGAGGGCCACCCGCATGATCCGGGGCCTTGTTTCCCCTAGCGCCCCCCGGGATAACAAGGAATAACGGCCACAAGTTGTTGGAGAGTAGGCTTAGATTAGACATCCATAGGAACTACTTCACAGTCAGGGCAGCTAGGATCTGGAACCGACTTCCAAGGGAAATGGTGCTGGCTCCTACCCTGGGGGTCTTTAAGAAGCGGCTCAATGCCTACCTGGCTGGGGTCATTTGAGCCCAGTTTTCCTCCTGCCCAGGCAGGGGGTCGGACTTGAAGATTTACAAGGTCCCTTCTGACCCTACTTCTATGAAAATCTGTCCTCCAGACTTTTGAATTGGGTTTGGAGTTGCTGATCTTAGATCCAGATAATAACTGTTGCTGTAACAACAGCTGTCCACATAGCATTTCATTAAAAGAACAGAAAAAACCTTCTGCTGTAACTGATATCAGTGGATCCCCTGTGCAGTGCTATACAGTGATATACCACTTCTCTTAAAAGCAAATTCATGTACCTACGCTTGACTCCATGTATTTGAAATATGGCCTGCAGGTGGCAGAAGGGTCTTGGTATTCCAGGTTTGTAAAAGGAGGCAATCTCATTAAGGAGGTGTAGCTGTGTCAGCCTGAAGACAACTCTGGAGTCCTCTGCATTTCTTTAGGAAACTTCTTCATATTTAAAGGGCTTCCCTTGACTACTTAGCACTGTTTGCAATGGTTTCTGTGGCCATGCAGTCACTTTTGAGAACTGCTTTATTGCAATGGGCCACAATGGAAGCGATCCAAAGAAAGCTACAGAAGGTATCTATAACAGGTGTCTTGTTTCAAATATGCTCAGCTCACCACATCTGTCAGTGGCACTGGCTGAAAGCAGAGCAGGGTTGGTAAAGTGCTGCACCTTACCCCCAGCTGACATAGCTCCTTGGAGCAAGTGCAGACTGCCTGAGGTGTACCTTGACCTTGAACTATCTAGGTTACCTTTGACTTATCCCACTGGGTGCTACAAAAAACTCTGTTGTGGGAAGAATTGTGCGTGTGCCATGAGAGATGGGACCTCTGGCCAACTCACACTTGCAAAGGGCTGCAGTGGAGTCAGCAGCTCCTTCTGACCCTGCTGTATGTTCACCCATGAGCCTGGGGACTGATGCAGGACAGAATGATCAGCCTTAGCAGGGCAGGGAGTTGATGCAGCACGTTGCCCAGGGCTGCCCAGAGCCCTGCACGCACCTGCTTGTCTTTCTCCACGTCCTGCTTCTTGAGGAAGCTGATCACCTCCACCGTGTCCTTCTCCACCCGGCGCTGCTGCCAGGCCAGGTCCTCATTGTTTTTGGCCAACAGGCGGGCGGCCTCGCGGTACTCGGCCCGGGAGATCTCCGTCACTTCCAGCCGGGCCTCCCATAGCGCTGCGCTGGCCTTGGCCCGATCGGCCTCCGACTCCCTGTCCACCTTCACCTCCCCCGGGGTCCCCTTCTTCGCTCTGTGGGGACAAGCAGAGGTGGGAAGGTGCGGGGCAGGCCGTCTCCCTCGTCCCGCACCCCCACCACTCGGCTTCCCTGCCGCCACCCACCTGGCCCTGTTGCCCTGGTTATCTGCCCCCCCACGTTCCCCTGGTTAGTGCCCCGCTCCCTCCCTTCTGTTGCCTTGGTTACTTGCGCCCGTTGCCCCGGTTACCTGCCCCCCATTTCCCTGGTTACCTGCCCCGCTTCGCGCCCTTCCCTTTCGGCATCCTGTCGCCCCGCAGCCGACGGCGAGCCCCAGCGCGGGGCCGTCTCCCCGGCACCCGGGGGACAGCGCCGAGCCGCGACGCGC